CACCCTCTCTTTTCTTCCCCTGCTCGCCCCTCTCTCCACCCCCCACCCCGAACTCCGTTGTTTCCGGGAGGAGGTGTAGGTTTGGGGGGTTGCTGTGCTAACTGCTCTCGCTCTGTATGCAGGGACAGTTTTTTGATGGGCCAAGGCTCAGCGTTACTGTTTGCTACAGTTGATGATGAGCGAGCGGAGCTTCCTCACAGTGTTCCTGAGGCCAGCAACGTGGGAGCCCTCCAACACCACATGCAACTGATGTGTAACAAACTGCGACAGGACGATACTATCACCCTGGTTAGTCAGCACATCGCCACCAACACCAACACAGGGGAAAGCTCCCTCTACACTGTCCCCCAACACACACCCTCAGGGACAGGGACAGCACGGCGTTAGATACAGAGTAAAGCTCCCTCTACACCGCACCCCCATCGAACACACCCAGGGACAGGGACAGCACGGGGTTAGATACAGAGTAAAGCTCCCTCTGCACAGTCCCCCCCATCAAACACTCCCAGGACAGGGACAGCACAGGGTTAGATACAGAGTAAAGCTTCCTCTACACTGACCCCCCATCAAACATTCCCAGGGACAGCACAGGGTTAGATACAGAGTAAAGCTTCCTCTACACTGCACCCCCATTGAACACACCCAGGGACAGGGACAGCACGGGGTTAGATACAGAGTAAAGCTCCCTCTACACCGTCCCCCCCATCAAACACTCCCAGGGACGGGGACAGCACAGGGTTAGATAAAGAGTAAAGCCTCCTCTACACTGCGCCCCCCATCAAACCCTCCCAGGACAGGGACAGCATGGGGTTAGATACAGAGGAAATCTCCCTCTACACTGTCTCCATCTAACACTCCCAGGGACAGGGATAGCACGGGGTCAGATACAGAGTAAAGCTCCCTCTACACTGTTCCCCATCAAACCCTCCCAGCACAGGGTTAGATAAAGCCTAGTTTTAATGCACTTTTTACAAAAGTGGAGTTGTGTGTTTTCTACAGTCATCATTTAAGATAGATTTCTGTTTCTCTCATTCTCTCCCTAACTCACTCCTGGATCTGTCTGTGTCTGTCTCTCTCCAATGACACATTCACAAACACTCCATCACCGCTTCCCTCTCTCTCTCTCTCTCCCCCAGGCAGTGCGACTAGAGTCTGCTAAACCCCATCGCATCCCTTACTTTGTAATGGTATCGAACACAGAGAGAGTGAATGTGGGGGAGAACATTATTCTGGGAATGGACATCATACAGCATGGAAGGTGAGACAGAGAGAGAGGGTCTGGGGATATCAGCCAGGATTCCTGTTCCTGATCACTGTCCAGTGATCCCTCTGTTAAAGAGAGAGAGAGAGAGAGAGAGGGGGTGGAAGGAGGAGGGGGGATAGCAGCCAGGGACCCTGTGCCTGATCCAGTGATCCTTGTGCTGGGGAGAGAGTTGAGGGTGTGTGATATTTTAATCAGAGCCGTTGTGTGTTTATTTTGTGTTACAGTGAAGTGGTCTGCACTATCGGCTTGGTGCTCCCTGTATGGAGTGACACACAAGTATTCTTAGATGGAGATGGGTAAGCTCTGTACATCATTCTGAGAATGGGCAGGTATTTCTCTCTCCATCTCTCTCTTTCACACTCACCCTCACTCTTACTCTCAGTCCTGTATCTGGTGACATCTCTCTAACCCTGTCTATCTATCTCACACACTTCTGTCTCAGAGAATACCTCTGTAAATCTCTCTCTCTCTTTCTCTGTCACACACAGACGCACACTAATGCACACACACTCACATACACACACACACACACACACACAAACACGCACACACAGACTCACACACATAGAGACATACACACTCCTGCATCTGGGGAGCTCTCTCTAACCCTCTCGCACTCTCCTCTAATTTAGTTCTCTCTTTTTGCTTCATCTTGTCCCTCTCTCTCCTTCTCTGTGATTCTTTCTTTCTAGATTTTCCTCCATCTCTGTTGCCCCTCGTTGTCTCTCTGTTTCTCTGTCTGTCTCTGCCTCTCTTTCTCTGTTAGGCAATGGCCTAATGCTATTACTGCTGGGCTGTTAACCCAGAGACCCAGCGAACTGGCTTCGAATCCCGCAACAGCAGATGGTGGAATTTGAATTCAATAAATATCTTGAATTAAGAATCTAATGATGACCATGAATCCATTGTCGATTGTCAGGAAAAACCCATCTGGTTCACTAATGTCCTTTAGGGAAGGAAACTGCCATCCTTACCTGGCCTGGCCTACA